AGTCACCAGGACTCGCTCACCGCAGCGTTCACAGTGAGCTCACCATCCAGCTTCTTGCAGGCCCTTCCTCCTCCTTTGGGGGGGAGGGCCATCAGCGGCATGGAGCCGTGTTTTTTGACTCCTTTCCAAGAGCACCTGAAGTCCTCGTGGTCTGCTGATGACATTAGTCTCTCAGCCATTCATCTTGCGCACAGCTGCTCCTGAACCTGCGGCTCATATTTTTAATGCATATTCGGGAAAACCTGGAACCATATGACGCGGGCTCTGAGTTTTACCGGGAATTCCCCTTTTAGGACAGGATGGGAGAATTAAAAGAAAGGCAGGGTTACTGTCAAAATAAGAACAGATCATACTAACTCTGGGAAACGAGAACAGGCGGAAAGAATAGAAGTGAGTTAAAATGGTTTTTGATGCCCTGAGAAAGATGGTGCCTCCGCCCTGCCTCCTCCCAAATGTAAAAACGTAGCTGTTGGGAGTATTTTGAGAAGCTGTTTTGTAGTTTCTTAGTAGCACAGCAACTCCAGAGCTGTGGGTGTGAGCCCCGTGCTGGCTGTGGATAGTGCACACATTCTGCTGTGTTTAGTGTGGGTGTGAGCCCCGTGCTGGCTGTGGAGAGTGCACACATTCTGCTGTGTTTAGTGTGGGTGTGAGCCCCGTGCTGGCTGTGGGGAGTGTTACACATCCCGTGCTCCCCATTCCAGACTCTATTTATTTTTATTTTGTATGAATGTATTTAGAGTTCAAGAAAATCTACTATTAAAAAGACAAGATTTTGTTAAAGTTCAAGAAATGCATGATATTTCCAAAGTCAGCGAGTCATCGTATTAAATAATCGTTTTCTCAGTATTGACCAAAAAGGTGATTATGATTTTTGCCGTAATCGAACACCCCTAGTGTGAGTGATTGTTTTCTTGCATGTCCCATCCGGGGTGACAGTTTAAGTGTCCTGTGATGGATATATGTGGTTGTCTACTAGTACATGATGAACTCATCATGCAGCGATTGGTCAGCTGTATTCATGCTATTTAAGTAGTTCATATTCTTGCTGTGTGGTTTAGCTCAGTTTCCATTACACTCTCTCTGGGAGTTCAGCCGGGCTTTGGACTTTATTGATTTCTTTGTCAGGTAGATATGGTTTCTCTTACGGTCTACAGCACTATGCCGGGCGGTTTGCAGCCTTAAAGGCTGTGAATCAAATGTCTGATGAGCAGTTAATGGGTTGGACTGCCTGCTCAGTGTCACAGGGGGTCTGTGAGTAACGTGAGTGACGGAGCCAAAACGGCGGGAAATAGACATCTGAAGTCTGAATACATTCCACAGTGCAGACAAAGCTTGGAAAACGTTCCTCGTAACACGGCCTTGCATGCCCATTTTTCACACAAATACAGAGCCGAGCTTTATTTTGATGTCACAGGAAGCCATGAGACTGGACGTCACACACACACACGTGAGCACTGCAAATGCCAGACGGGTGAACGGTGCCCAGTGTGGTTAATGACCGAGGTTATACCTGCTGCGACATCCCATGCAGGAGAGCTGGTGACCCCTACTGTGTGTTTCATTTGCGAAGACTGACGTTTTTACATTATGTGCAAAGTAGCACATTTTCCACGGCTCTCTCTGGAATTTAATGAGTAGTGCCTTGTGACATGCTCCAGAGCAGCAGGAATATGTCATTATGGAGCATACATGTAGTGCTTGTTCTGTGATTGCCTCTCCTGATGTTTATCCGCTCTGGCATGAATGTTGATGCTTAGTGGAGTGCGTTTGCTTTTGTCGTTGTCCTGGAGATCGGCTTCCTGGGTTCCTTTGCACATAGGAGACCACAGGGCTGCGTTTTTGCCTGACTCTCGTGGTTTAATCAGGCTGTCCCCACAGTCTGAAGCACAGTGGGTCTAGGCGTAATGACTCGATACTGAAGGCCTTTCCACAGAACATTCGCCTTACATCTCTTATGAACGCCTTTGTCGGCAGAGAGACCACTTCCAGCACAGTTCACTACAGCTCAGGTTGCAGTTAAAAATATGGCTATTCCATTTTCCATTAGTTTTGATGGGCATTCTTGCAGTAGCGTCACAGCCTGGCATTGTTTGTGAGAACGGGCTGAGCTTCAGTTAGTCAGACTATCTTAGTGAGCCGCCATGCACGTATTTTTTTTTTTAAATGTAATCTAATTTTAGTCAGCAAAAATTACAAGATATTGAGTCAGCTGTTTTAACTTTTGACTTGGTTGACCAAATCTACAGTACATGCAGTCAATGAAACTAACAGGTTTAGTCATAGTCTAATACATCATTTTCACATATTTGAAAATTTCACTTAATTTTCTGTGTACACACACACACACACACAAACGCATCTCATTTTTATTCATTGATGAAAGCCAGTACATTTCTTCATAGTTTTTGGCATCATAAATTATCTTTTATTTTATTGTCTTGTTTTTTGTCATTTAAAAATCTTTGTTGACAGATTTTTTATCATAATTTTTGTCAACAAAATTAACACTGGATGCGGTATTTAATACCACTGTTGGTTATGATAACAAGCAGCCTGAAACATTTCTTACCACCTCAGAGTCCCCAGAGTAATTGAAAGTTAGACTTGTTTTACGAACAGAACAAATAGGCTTTACATGGTTCACCATGACCTCTTTGGGGTGAAAAGAGACAGATTTTGGGCAGTCAGCTGCTGTCTTTAAGATCTCTCTGAATTTGCCAGCATCAGTTGTGTTCTTTCCAGCTAGTGTGCAAAACCATGCCTTGCAGATTGATGACTTGTCTAATGACTCAAATTGCACTCCGTAAGGAAGTTATTTAAAGGTTTATGCAGCCTTCTGAATACCACTAAATGATTAGCTCAGGATAAATAACGTGAAAAGGTACTGTGATGAATACTGCACTAAGCAGGGGTGGAAAGTGTCAGTTTTAGATGAGGAGCAGAGAAGAAGAAGCTCGCATCATATTCATAGCTCTGTTCTAATGTGGTTTTCAGGAAATTCTTCTTGGGTTCTGTGTGGTCGGAGTTTCCTATCGCCGATAGATGCATGTAGGTTGGCAGCAAGTCTATCTCAGTAATATTTGTAAGAAATAGTCTGATGAGTGGAAAATATCATTACAGCATCCAGTTTGTGGTACATAAACTTCAAAAGTTTTAGCTGCTACACTAACACTAGACATTTAACAGTATTTAATGATGCCAATTTGGGCAGCCGCACTAGAGCATATACGTCTTTGTCCTGTTTTTTGGTTGCTTCTTCTTCCCATATATTTTCAACACCCAATACGAAGGTTCCAGCAATAGGGCTGCTGTAGAGGAAACATTTTCCTGGGTACAGAAAGCTGGAGACCATGAACAAGGTGCTAGCAGGCCACATTTCCTTCTCCTGCACTGATGTAAAGGCCTTGGATGCAGGTCGATCTCTGCTAGCAGGCTACATTTTCTTCTCCTGCACTGATGTAAAGGGCTTGGATCCAGGTCGATCTCTGCTAGCAGGCCATGTTTCCTTCTCCTGCACTGGTGTAAAGGGCTTGGATCCGGGTCGATCTCTGCTAGCAGGCTACGTTTCCTTCTCCTGCACTGGTGTAAAGGGCTTGGATCCGGGTCGATCTCTGCTAGCAGGCCACGTTTCCTTCTCCTGCACTGGTGTAAAGGGCTTGGATCCGGGTCGATCTCTGCTAGCAGGCCATGTTTCCTTCTCCTGCACTGCTGTAAACGGCTTGGATCTAGGTCAATCTCTGCTAGCAGGCCACGTTTCCTTCTCCTGCCTGGTGGAATTGGCTTGGATCCAGGTCGATCTCTGCTAGCAGGCCAAATTTCCTTCTCCTGCACCGGTGTAAAGGGCTTGGATCCGGGTCGACCTCTGCTAGAAGGCCACATTTCCTTCTCCTGCACCGGTGTAAAGGGCTTGGATCCAGGTCGATCTCTGCTGAAACTTCCCTCTTCGGCTCGTCTTATGTGGATAGATTATTTAAAATACTGGGGAAGCACCTTTTTACATAGTACTCCTGCAGGCCTTCTGCTTCCCTGTCTCTCTTGATGGGTGATGGGAGATTTTATTGATTCACTGGAAGATTTTATTGCCACCTACTGGAACGGTCAAGGTGGAGTAGGGGGTGGGTGCTGAAGATTTCTGGGCGACTGCTTATGAGAGTGTTTAAGGGCATGAACCGTCAGTGACAGTTACACCCACACTCTCACACTACGAACAATCTAGGCACAATGGTTTCCCTAACAATTTACTCCTGGACTGTGGGAGGACCCTTCCAACGATGGGGAGAATTTACAAATGGCACACCCTGACCCAGGGGCTTCCCCCAGCCCTGGAGGTATGCAGTACAGCAGCACAGAAGGTATGAATAGAAGAGAAACCACTGTAGTAGAGCATACAGACAGTACTGCAGTATTGTATTCTATAGAGTATATACAGTACAAAGTTTCCTAGTCACTTTAAGGTCAGAAATATTACTGTTTCACAGCCCTGCTTTTTTTTATGTATCTCTTGCTCTTTTGGGATTTATCCTAAATTTACTGTGCTTTGTTCTCAGTGCTTGAACTTTGGTTGAATACTTTGTTTTACTGGAAAGGCTGTAACTTTGTTGGATGAATAGTGCCGTGAATCGCGCATGGCTCCTCTCTCTGTGCCAGGACGTTTATGACTTAAAAGTGGGATGATGTCATTATTGCCTTTGACGGAAGTGGGAATTGTATGCGGGGTCAGCCGAGCGCGATGGGTACCTAGAGCTGGGTGAATGGTACCCAAAAGCAAAGCCACGAAACACAAGGACACTGAGGGAGAAGAGGACCATGGGGGGAGTGGTGGGGGGCAGCAGTAGTGGGTGGGGAAGCAGCAGGGGTTATGAGGAGCAAGGAGAAGTAGGGGGTTAACGGCCTCCTTTAGCATGATCCTGCAGGGAGGAGAAGGAGGAGGAGCAGAGCTGCAGAAGCTGAGCCCCCTGGCCTGCACACACATCACCGTGCTCCCTCCCTCTGTCTTCCAGGTCAGGCCAGGAGACGCGGGACAGCACAGCAGGGTGGACAATGTGCTAGAGGGGAGACAGAAGGCAAGCTCTGGTGTTTTCCTGATTTATTCTGGGAAGTCAGAGACCACAGGAACGGCAAGATGGGACGGAAGAAGATCCAGATCACGCGGATCATGGATGAACGGAACCGACAGGTAGGCATCGCCCTTCCTGCACAATCATGATGTGGATTCAAAACTTATGTGTGAGTGAAGTTTATGATCTGTTATGGATGTATATGTATACAGTTGGTAGTCAGTATGTAGTGACTCTAGTCAGTGTGCCAGAGCACATTCAGCGTTTTATGATGCTGGAATTATATTTTGAAATAGAACCACATTTGAGGTGTATTACTGCAACACCTTCAGATGGAAGAAGTCATTTTCAGTTACCATGGCGAATAACGCTTCCTGGCCATTGGATGGGCACGGCAGGGGGTGGGACACTGCAGAGCTGTTTGCTTCCGGTGATGGCCTTGGGGGGCGGGTAAGACCCCCTGAACTGGCCCCTGCAGCCCTAATCTCAGCACTATGAGTGAGTAGCTGCTGGTAGGCCGGGGGACTGCATGGTGTCTCCCGAGCGTGTCTGAGCGCATCTGGCCTGAGGGACCTTCCAGCTGGGGGCTTCCCAATAGGCCCCCAAGGTCCACCTGTCACTGCAGCCCCCGCCAGTCTGGAATATACCCAGGGTGGGCGCTGCTCATGGGTGGAACACTGCTGTAACACTGTGAAACTTTTTAGCCATTCTTATCAAATGTCCAATGATTTATATCTATTGCAGTAGCCATTTATACAGCTGGTATTAAACTAGAACAAGTTCCAGGGGATCAACAGCTCTCCCGGAGTACGAACCAGTAACTTTGAGACTGTAAATCCTTCTCCACTAATTTTATACATATGTGTGTATCTGCAAGTGGTCCCCAGGTCTGTCCCCAGCTCTGTCCCCTAAGTAGTCTTTAATTTCTTGAATTTCTAATATACTAGGTTTCATGGCTGTCCGTTAGTAATTACGAGTTGCCCATAAGTCAGACGTTCTTAACCCAAGGACTGCCAGTTTAGTATTATCGGATTTTGTTGTAGATTTCAGCTCTTCAATGGCGTCCCTTTGTACTCAGTTTCACTTCAAGTCCAACCCTAAGTTCTATTAGGAGGATGCTGAGTTACACCTTCTCAAAATATTATTAGCACTTTGTGGGCTAATTGAAGCCATCTTCACTCCCCAGGCTGCAGTGACATTAGTAACGATGCCCCACACTTCTTAACCATCTCCCCAACACCATTCCTCATGCTGTCTGTTGCCATGTAGATGGCACTTTCCCCCAAGTGAGAAAACCAATCTGCACGTTGGGCCAATTATCAGTGTAGTGTAGCGTAGCACTGGTTGCCTGCTGAGTGAGTGAGAGCCCCATGCATGCAATCCAAACCCGCTTACTCAATTCTGCACTGACCTCTGACATCAGTGCAGACTGACTGCTGGTGGCGGCTGACAACTGAGACGGATTAGTCTAAAGGAAAAAAGAAAAAAAAAACGACATCACTCAAGAGTGCATAGTACACATCTCGCAGGAATTTGGTGTGAATTACAAGATTATATGGTCTTACAGAAAGAGATTAAAAGTATCACAAGCTATAAAGAGTCCATTTCAATTTTACATGCACGTGTTGTCCCACACGCGCTCACATGCGCAGGTACAACCGAACACAGATGCAGAGTTAAGCACTGCATGCATGGTGAATTCTCAGAACCTTACTGTACTGCCTATGCACATTCGTCTTCTGATCTTCACCTTGATCAAAGTCACAACTTGGAGCCAGCAGAGCAGAAGCACGCTTCCTGTTGAGGGGATATTTTATATTTGTTTTTCTCTGCTGTCTGGCCTGCCTCTGTGTCAGTCATTAACTGTCAGAGGTGCTCTCCTCTCAAACAAAGGCCGGCCCTGATGTTCGCGTGGCGGATGGTCTAGGAGAAGCTGTGGTACGTTTGTCTATGACCGGCTCAAGACGAGCTCTCTGGGATGCGCCGGCGGCCCAGGGGAGTAGGCATTAGCATATCCTCTCCGTTCTAACGACAATTAGAAGCTTTATCTCCACGCCAGTGCCTCAGGTGTTTTGTACTGGCAGCGCTAAATGAAAGATCGCTTTAAGTGGGCTAATTAAATACTGTGGCATCGCGGCGCTCTGTGCTGGGATGTCGTCCTTCTTGCAGCTTTACTTTGATGAAGCTGTTGACCTTCCTTTTCAAATATGCATGAGAGAACTGGGGCACAGCTTTGAAATTTGTAAACAGTGTTTGAAAGGCCGACTGCGGGTACCTCTCCATTCTTTTACGTTGAAGGCATGCATACAAAAAGTATTTTTTCTGTGCTTAAATTAAACACATTATACCATTGTAAAGAAAATAAATGTGTCTTATAACAAGGTGAGTTAAAAATATATTGTAGAACAGTTTCCAAAAAAAATGCAATAATGTATGACACCACTGTGCAGAGTCTCCTGTTACGTATGTGACATGTTGGTTTTATTTCAGACTAATGGTGAGTGAATGATTGTTACAGCAAGCTTAATTTCCACAGTCATTTCTCTGTAGGGGCAGCTTACAATTTTCCCTTCATAAAACTGGCTTATTGGTGAGGGTTTGTGCACTCGCTGGTCATGGTTGGTAAACGGCCTACAGCCTCAGATGAATATTATTTTAATGTGTACTTTCTGCAGGCTAACGTCATATCCCTCAGAGCCAGAGAGTCCCTTGGTTTTCCCTTCCGCTTCTGCCATACTCATTTTGGAGAAGCTGAGGGAGAAACAAGCAAACAGTGATAGTGCCCTCAGTCAGAGGGCCGCCCACATCCCCATCCCAATCCACATCCCTGTCTCTGTCCACATCCCTGTCCCCATCCCTGTCCTCTCCACCCAGCTACAGCAAGGGACGGCTTTGGTACGAGAGTAGGCTTGTGGAACATTTTTTTTTAGACATGACTGTCAACATGTGAGATTGTGTTTCCGTACATCGTTACATTTGCTAAAACCTAAAGTTCCTGGACTATGGCTCAGCCTTATATTGTCCTAAGTTTTACTTCAAAATCCTTTCCTAAGGTCTCTAGATTTTTTCCCTTCCAGATTTAAAATGATGGTGCCTCTGGAATTGCTTTATAATCCTGCAAGAGCAAGGACTAATTCAATATCAATCATATCCATGCAGAATTCAGGTGTATGGGTATGTCTGAATTCAAGCATGGAGGGGGCATGGAAACCATCTCCGATAAAGTGGGAAGGACTGTGTGTTCATGTACAGCAGCGAGAAGGGGGCCCTGCCTTGCAGAGCTCACTGAGCACCCGGCCTGACATGCTAATTGCTAACCAGTGTCCGTGTCAACGGGAAAATGGCACCAGACAACAGCATTGCCCTAGAAGGCATTCTCTGCTTCTGTACAAGATCACGCTGATACTGGGTCCTGTAATTACAGTCATTAACAATGACGTATACCTGTCTCATTTAGGCAAAAACTGCCATGGGCTTTCTGTGCCATGAATATTTTTAGATGATTCTCCAGTGAAATTAGCCTTAATTATTGCAGTGCGTGCACTGGCCCTGCGTGTTTTGCATGGCTGACCTGGGAAGCGGCTACGTTGCATAAGCGGTTTCTCTCGAAATCGTGGGAAGCGCGGCTGGAGACGTCGTCAGCGTGGCCACCCTATTAGCTACAATAGCTAGAGCCATTTATTTTGTGCTAGTCTCCATGGGTGGAGTTGGTATAATTGGATTCTGGGAGGTGTACTCAAGGTTTCTTGGAGAGGACGCGAGGGGGTGGATGCACGAGCAGCCTCTGGCGCTGGGTTACTGGGAGAGCTGCCAGTGCTCATGCTGTAGAGCCCCTGTGCTGCAGTAAGAGCTGTATGGGTAACTCAGTGTAGTTTTGTTACTTTTTCATTCGCTTCTGAAAGCTGGATGTCAGAGTTTGAGCAGCTATAGCTGGGTTTGGAATGCACGTTTCACACTGTAGTGACTGGCTGACCTGAGGTGATGGGAGGGCTCAGCTCCCTGTTGATAGCAGAATGCTGGAGGCCGGGAAGACGGGAAGACGTACAGTCACGGCTAGTAAGAATTAAACAAAAAAAAAAAAACAAGAAACAAACAAATGAAACTGATGCAGATGATGGTCAGACTGGTGGCAGGAAGTGGGGGTGCACAGTCCTGTTAGATCCGAAGGGCGTCTGCAGGTGTGTGGCTTGTACAATGCAGACTGTAGAAGTAAGAGACAGAAGCAGCTCTCTGAAGGTCATATTTTATGCATCTGTAATAGCCGAGCATTGAATCAAACTCTGATAAACTGAGGGAGTTGCTTATAGACAGAAGTTTCTTGAAAGGCAGTTATGATGGAGTCCTGCAGGCTGTGGTATTGGGTGGGCGGCTGCTTGTGATATTGCAGATGACTCATATTAAAGCTGGATTGGAAAATATAGGATACATAAATCTGTAAAAGAGAGATGCATATGGGTTTGTTACGTTTAGAGATCCTAGCTGGATTATCTTACCGACAGGGAGGGGCATCCCGCGAGGCTCCCAGATTTTTTGCGCTGTCTCACTGTTGTTGGGGCATATTGATTCTGATGATAGACCTGCTCAGTATCACCACAGAAGAATGTTTAAATTATGGTGACTATGTAATTCCAAGAAATGACCTGGAGCAAACACCCGTTGCTTTCAAGGAAAACATCATAAACCGAATTGAGATGCACAGCTTATTAGACGGAGAACCTGTGGGACTTTACAAAAATCAAAGAATTTCTTCAGTGGAAATCTGAGGACATTTTCAGTAACAATATAACAATATACATTAGCACACAAGTAGGGCAACAAAGTGAATTAATGAATGAATGTTTCATTTATATAGCACTTTTCAAACACACAAAGCGCTTTACAGAGCCAACGGGGAGCAACCTGAAACGCCCCCATTGTGTAGCACCCACATGGATGATGTATTTAACATGCTTATGACTGTTGGGAAGAAATTGTTCTGAGTCTTGAAGCACGGGCCCTGATGGACCAGTGGTGTTTTCTGGAGAGAAGAAGAAGGCTTAAGAGAGAAATGAGAATGAGGCTTTTGGAAGTTTGGAGGAACTTCTGAGGCTGGTATATGAGCCTAGAGATGGATCAAATGGTCACCCACCGTCTTCCTGGGTCAGTCTGTCTGGTCATGCTGTCTGTCTGCCTGGTATGTTATGCTTGTAAATTTTTCCAGGAATTATAAATTAAGGTTTTCTATTGTTCCTGTGTTGGGACGTTTAAGAAAAACGCAATTGAATACAGAGAGCCAGTTGAGCACAGGTCACAAATTGTGTTAATTTTCAATGTTTTGCTGCTGATATTTGAAGAGCTAATATGCCTTGGATCAGCAAATGTGATGGTTTTCTTTTGTTAAATTTTTTATAGGACATGGGAAAATAAATCATTGAAGTATTTGGTTATTTTATGATAGTACAAGCTACTATTTAGCAGGTAACACAATGGAGTTCAAATAAGATTATTACTAATAGTGCTGGCTGTGACTAATCACATATCATCTAACTAGGTTAGTAGAATTGCCATTGTGGAATATTGACACATTAAATTATCAACGACCTGAAATGCAACATTTACTGGAAGTAATTCCATTCTGTGGATATTAGTGAGTGTATGGTAGACACATCTATACATTTCTTGACATCATCAGAAGTATACAGTTTATGAATAATTCATTTGAGTTAAACATGATTTCTTTTAGAGAAGAATAATGAGAATGACTGTGAATGCATTTTAAGCAGATAGCCTGCTACAGCGATCCTCCATAAAGGCTGCTTAGCCCTCTGGTTGAAGGTGACTGGGCTCAGTTACATTTCTTCCCAACTGGCTGCCCTTGTTTTCGCAGCACAGGGACAGGATTCTAATGGTGCTCCTGATGTCCTAAAGACACACTGCTGTGCATGTATGTGACGTTCTAGAGATAGGATGCTCAAGACACAGTGGAGCAAATCTGTTTGGCGTGCTATAGGCAGGCTGCTAAGTGCGTATTTGACATTGTGAAGGTGGGGAATAGCGTGTGTGTTTGACATGCTGAGGGAGGGGTGCTAAGCATGCATTTGGCTGCGACCATGCCGAGCCTGCCAGCGTCTGAGAGGCAGCTGGGTCCCGGTGACAAGACCAGCAGCTCCCCAGATCACATTTAGCTACAGTCACGCGCTACGCTTACCAAGCAGCTTCTGGCGTGTCCCAGGGTCGACCCCTTGCCTGCTAGCGACTGACACAGACAGGCTGGCGGGGGGGGGGGTGGGCCTGGAACAGCCGTGACAGAGGGTGAGAAAGAGCTGCTTTAGGTGAGGAAAATGCCACACTTCTAGAGTCGACATGCGCGGGCGGCTTTAGCCCAAAGCTGTGAGAATTGGTGTTGAAAGTACATTTTAATCACTTTTTCAGCTTGTTTTAACTTCAGTTAATCTACTTAGGTTTATCCCTAGGGCCTGTGCTGAAAATAGACACGTGCAGAGTTTAAATCATCGTTCAGTTTTCCAAATAAACTGTCACTTTTGCCTGTTCAGTGACATTCGATAGAATTCTATGGCAATGACTGCTCAAGCGCGAAAGCGGCAATTCGTTGTCACACGTTATTGAGGCTGCTTGTCTCCATTCTTGCCGCGTGTCTTGCAGGTAACGTTCACGAAGAGGAAGTTCGGGCTGATGAAGAAGGCCTACGAGCTGAGCGTGCTCTGTGACTGTGAAATAGCACTCATCATTTTCAACAGCTCCAACAAGCTGTTTCAGTACGCCAGCACCGACATGGACAAAGTACTGCTGAAGTACACAGAGTACAACGAGCCACATGAGAGCAGGACCAACTCTGACATCGTGGAGGTGAGTCCGCTGCTGCTTAGTCCGACATGGAAGCAGCACAGATGCCCTTTCAAATCTGAGTAGACAAGTATAGATCACACTGCATGTAGATCTTATGGAAGACCTTGATTTTCTTCTTTTCTTGGCCAACACTTGGGAGAGGAAGGGTAGAGCTCTCTTTGCAGAGATATTGCCAAAGCTTTTCACTTTCCCCATTCATCTGACACGTCAATAATGCTGAGAATCGTTGCTCCGAAGCAACATCCCCGTTTAGCATTCTGAAGTCAAAGTCGTCTCCTGGGGTTAAGCTCTCGTCCGTCTTACTGAAGTTCATGTTATTCACCAGACATTTTGGAGGAATATGCAGGAACATTGAGTGTCCCCCCCCCATTAGGACTCTCGCAATGAGAGCAATATCGCGATACTGCAATACCGCGATATTGACAAGCCAAACACCGGGGGGGGCGGGCAAGCAACCACCACAACTGCATCTTTCACGTTTTTTGTCTTTTTGTGATCAGGCTATCACCGGCAGTCCCGGAAGTTGGTCAAAAATGTAAAAAGTCATAAAACATTGTTTTTTAAAAAATAATAAGTCTGATAATGATTGCATAATAAAAAAATATAAATGTTTCCATCATTCTTACGACATTTTCTGATTATAATACCATTAAAATGAAATATATTTAAAGTACTTTATCGTGGACAGCAGTCAAAATGTGCACTTTATTTACATGAATAACAAAGCACCAGTTAATATCGGTGTCCGTACCTCCGTAAGGGTCCAAAATTTTACAGTTACAGTATTTCTTTTTATCCATATAAGTAACACTTTTAGAAATCAGGTGTCTTATTAACATTTTGTGACTGTCAGGATTTAAACCAGCCCTTATTTATGAATTTAGTGTATGTGGTTCAAGAGTAATACATATTTTATTTTGGGTAGGTCCTATTTTTTTTTTATATTTTTAAATAGGGGGCATTTGTCAAGTTTGGGATATGTAATTTGAAAGAAAAATTACATAATTTGAAAGAAAAATATCGCACGCAGCAATTGAGCCACCCCAAATCACCATGACAGCCCTCCCTCTTGGTGTTTCTGCAGGGTCTGTTTATCTGACGTGGCACTTTTGGCACAGTCAATTGCTAAAGGACAAGTCGCTGATCCCACCTAGTCACTGCATGTCTGATGTCTGCAGAGACCGATAACTTCATTCTGGCTTCAGTCCAGGAACTGATGAAATGCTAAATCTACGGCTTAGTGGCTCTCCTGTAATAGTAGTGCTTGCAAGCTGGAAACCATGGAAACCAGCTTCCTCCAGTCCCTCTTTTGTAACGTCCACTGCCTCGTAACTCGAACTGGTACACGCTCAGATGAAAACCTTAGGATGTTCTCGTGTGCTTTTTTTGTTTAGAGCCATCTGCAACAAATTTCCACATCAGTCCCCCACACGCGCACACACACTCCATGCGCAGATGCCTAGTTTGGCTTTGTCTCTAAAAATCCATGCTATTCAGCAATTAGTGCCATTAGCTTGAATTTAGTGCTTGCATCTGTGGGCAGGGGAGATAGTCAGCATAATTGTTTGTGATTATTTGAGACTAGAGTCTGTTGTTGGTACACAATAATAATGCACTCTGATTCATTTTCAGTGTTCCAGATTGGAGATAAATCTTTAGCATGACTTTTCAAACCAAGAATCAAGATCCACTGAATTTATTGACTGATAATTGGTCCTTGGACTTGAAGCCTAATTTGATCTCTGTTGCCTTCGGCCCTTCAGCCACTAAGAGATGAAGGCACAGTGGGAGATTCTGTGCATTCCCTGAAACATTTCTGAGGCATTCGTTCTCTTCTCTGACTAAAATGAAAAGCAAACACATTCTGGCTGATTCTGAAATAACAATATATGGCTGTATTTGCTTTTAAAGCTGATATTCAGATTTAAACAAAGGCTCTGTGTTTTGAGTTGAACCTAAATATTTTTATTAATACATCAGACCCATGAACAGCTAATCTGCAGTTTCACCTTGTATTGAATCATATTTACCTGTAGTATCTAATTTTATCTGAGGAGACAACAATTTGGTGTCCAGACACACCCCCAAGGCCGCATGAATGTTTTCCCAGAGCGAGCTGTCGCTTAGCTGTTTTCAAAACTAAACTAACACTACAACGCTAACGTAGCAGTGCTTATTCTGAAGCTTCCTCGCTGGATCGGTGCGTCCTTCGTCCAGGAGCTGGGCCCCGCCGTCCTCGTATGGAAAAGGCCTGGATTGCAAATTAATTCTATTAAACAGACGGCCAGGCTCTTTCCTCTTTATAACTTATGGAATCGTGGTACCGCCTTTGTTCTGTCGTTGGTAGTTTTATTCATTTTTACATTTGGATGTGTTCACTGAGGGAATTCAACTTAAAAACCGTACTCAAGGATACAACATGCCATACAACATACCAGAGTCAGTGTTCTTGTGACTGAACATTACAGGTATCATCAGTAAATGCCTAGTTAAAGCGCACACCTCTTTTAATATAAAAAGCGCGGCTTTTAGATGGTCTCCTTCAGGAAGGAGAGTTAGGCTGATTACAGGCAGTCCCCACGTTAAGAGCATCCGGCTTACGGACAACTCATTCTTACGAAGACTTCCATAAAGCCTGTTATATAAAAAATTTGAGCAGAATACAGCAGTTTGTTGTAACAAGTGTTCTCACTACTTTGTGACACTCATGAAAACATTGGGCAGCTTCAGCGGTTCATTGACTCCAGGTTCAGTACAGTAACATATGTAGCTACTGTTATCATTACTGTGTAATAATAATAATGATAAAAACGATAATAATAATAATCGTTGTTATTATTATTATTATTGATTTTATTATTATTCTTCAAATTTACCTACAAATTGGACTTAAAGACAGATCTCGCTCCTAAAATACAGATTGTCACAGACTTCATGATGTGTGTGTTGTTGTCACCAGAATAGGAAAAAAAAGAGCTTAAAAATGGGGGCATTTTACAAAATGCAACTATAAAAGTTGTGATGGGTGGCGAAACCATGGGGAAGCAGACAGTCTGTAGCCCCTCCCACTTTATTTGTTTTTGGATGAGCGCCTTTATTTAAAAACCAAATTGGTCTCTGCCAGGTATCAGCGCTACTTAGCAGTACCTAGTTGCATAACGTTATGTACGTATGTATGTATTGTGAACAACAGTGCTGTTTGTATCTGTGTGTGTCGGAGATGGAAATGGAAATTAAATTAAACAAATAAAAATAAAAGGCTCGGATTAGGAAATTGGCCTAAACCGGGTGCTCACGGCGAGAACTGGTTGACCTCGTGACCATCTGCAGAAATAGCCCAGCATGGCAGTCAGGTTTGGCGGAGGGGGGGGGGGTACCCATCCCAGTGGCGGGTGCTGAGATTGGAAATCCACCCCTGAAGCACAGCTGGCAGGAGTTGGGCACCAACAGAGTTGGCCCACTGCTTTCCATTCTGCACCCTTCTGTCACCTGGAGAAGTGGCAGCGCGCCCGGCCTGGTGTGTCGCTAATCCTGCTTTGAATACCGGCGCAGAGATTCCAGTGCTGCCCCCAACAGCACAGTGCTCCTGGGTGCCAGTGTGGGTGCCCCCCCAATTCTTCTGGGATGCTGCATTTTGCTGTCTGCTTAAGTGGCGGTGAAGTGCACCCCCTACCCCATGCTGTGGGCCCACAGCCCTCTGCCAGTAACTCTTGCTGTTCTAACCTTTCCATGAAAAGTAGTGATGCGAACCATCTGGTCTCCAAAGATGAGCAGGTACCTGCCTGCTCCATCACCCAGCTCACACCGAGCGAATCCCATGGACGGGCAATTCTGAGGGAACATGCTTTCTCCCTCAGGCCTCAGAGAGAAAAAAGGAAGAGTGATCTCATCTGATCCTCTCTAAACTTCCTGTTTAGTCTCTTAAAAAAATGTCTGTGACATTTGTGATGAGTCAGAAAATCATACAGTTTTTCTCATTCATGCAGCCGGAGATTTTCCTAAAGCGACCCAGGGTTAGGCAGCTTGTTAAAGTGGTCTGAGGCCTTAACTGTCTATCCCAGAAAATGAAAAAGAAGATAAAGGGAAATCAGCCTCGGATGGGAGGCAGGGCGGACAGCACGTCTGCATAATTGCGGAGAGTCTCTTGTGGCTGTCAGCTGGTGCTGCTCCGCAAAGCGATGAGCTTAACGTGGTTCTGGTCGTGGGCACGCTTCCTGGGTCTGGAGACCCACATATGTTTCGAGGCCCAGATAATCCTTTGCCAGGACCTAAGGAGCAGAACCTTTCAGTTTGTTAGCAAGGAAACTGAAATGCATTCAGTGATTATAGTATTTGTGCTTCAAAATAAATTTTATGTCAACTGCAAAAGGAAAAAAAAAAAATCTCCTGTCAGTATTTATAGTGATCTCATTCTACCTGGGAAATCATAACTTAAGGGTGTACGTACCCACACTAGGGTACTCAGCACATCCTTGAGTAAGGCCCTTAACCCCTTCATCTCCCTGAGCATCGCTTACTCTCCAAAGAACAAGTTGAGGGAGGTGTAAAGACAATTTCAATAAAGTATCTATTATTATTAGCCAGTCTGAACTGAACACATGCAGGTCTGACCCCCAAAGTGCAGCTTGTTTGACTAGTGTTGATCGCTCTATACTGTGCTGGGGCGCAGTACACTTAACCATGCCCAGGCCCGGATAGTTAATACTCGGGTACGGTACACATCCAGTGAGCACAGAACTCAGACATGACGTCAGTGATACGACTGGCACATCCATGTGCAAACGTACACAGTATGTCAACGTGACCAGAAGGAACCGATTAGGTAGATTGTACAGATCGGGAAGCGACAAACATATAGCAATCACTGCAGCAAAGGGATCACTTTCATCTATGGCAGAAGTGCAGTGTTTGCTGGAAATTTGGACTGACGACAGAACCCAGGAACAACTGCATGCAACACACAAAAGCACCTGAGAAATTTGGTAAAATATGGGACTGTC